GTAGTACTCTTATATAGTATATTTATGCTAATTATTAAATGAAGTCAGGGGCCAGGAATTTAGCTCAGTGGTACCACCGCCCGCCTTGCATGCTCAAGGTCCAGAGTTTGATCCCTGATACAAAAAAAAAAAAATTGTATGAAACTACTTATTTCTCCACCAATACTTATATTTTTAAGATTTTATTAATCTGCATACTTATTTTGATTCATATAACCATGATTTTTGTACATTTTTAACTTTCCATGGATTTTTGAAAGCAACACAGAATAAATGTGATGAGATTTTAAAATTGAAAAATAAAGGTAAAAAAGTCTCCTGTACCTTAACATTTTAAAATATGTGCTTTGATTCTACTAAACAGTACATGCAACATCTTAGCCAAAAGTAAGAGAATTTAAAACAATTCAGAGTTTTATTTGAAGCAGTATCACCTTGCTCATCCTGAAAACCTTAAGACTGTAGTTTTTATAGCTATAACAAGATACTCAGTGAGCTAAAGTCTGTAGGTGAAACTTTTGGGGACCTGAAATCCAGTTCTATCTTCTGATGTTTCAGACATGTTTTTCTCTCAGGTTTTAATTAGAAAGGTTCTTCCTTTCAAATCACACATTTCTTGTGACATATTCTACCAGCCAAGCCCCATGACATTTTTATGTATCCAAACCGCCTCAGTAATAAGCAAAGAGCTAAAAAATAAATAAGCAATTAAAGAGAAGGAAGTAATTAGCTTTTATTAGAGCATATTCAGATGATTAGACTCCTTGGTTCCTAATCATCTTGAGGTGTGGCTTGTTCTTCTTATTTTTAGCAACTATAAAGTAAACATGTCTTTGTCCATTGCCACTGTCTGTGCATTCTTAGACCTGACTAGTACCTAAAGTATTTTCCACGTGGAGACAAGGACTTATGTAGGGGAAGAACAGTAGTGCAGTCAGAGGTTCTCAGGACATATGGGAAAATTTGTTCATTTGTTTATGTATTTTCCTTCAAAATGGCTGTGTGATCAGAATACAGATGTAGATGTTAAGTCAGCCTCCCCCACTGTCTGCTCTGGCTCTGGGTCCAAACCTTATTTTGCAAATGAAAAGCACTTACTGGGCCATAGTCTCTCTTACCACACCAGATGCTGACTACTTAAAAATGATTACTTGTGCTCCAAACTCTGACAGCAATTGTCCTAAACTCCCAGGTAAGACCACTAATTTTCAACTCCAAAATTTAAATTTAGGCAAAACAACACTGTCCCATTTGAACTCCCTTTTTGAGAACTTAACATTGATTTCCCATGAATTGAGTTCTTATTTGATGGCATAAAAATGTCCTTTGCAAGGACCAGGGATTTAGCTCAGTGGCTCTGATGCCTGCCTCATAAGTGCAAGATCCCAAGTTTGATTCCGATACCAAAAAAAAAAATGTCCTTTGCAAGAGAACTTTGCTTACAAATATATATGTCATGGGTTCTTATCAGAGTTTAAAAAAGGAAGCCTGTTATAAATGTCAAGAGTGGAACAAAGGCTACAGGAAACACTGTGTGATAGGAAGCACTTAATTACCATACCGGGCCCCAAATTATGGTTTACGATGGTGACTAATAGGGAGTGGGGTAGCTCTGCTCCAGGCACAGCAGGGATACCTGTTATTAAGAGGGAAGACTTCTAGGCGGGACCATGGCCAAGCCCTCCTGCTTGGCCCTGATACGGCAAGGGCTCCCTTTCCTGATCATTAGCTCCGGGCAGCAACACTACCCTTAGGTTCAAGGAGAGTACATCTGGAAGGGACCTAGATGCCAAGGTCAGGAGGAACACCTGGGTCTAAACTGGGGACATTACTCAAGCTATCATCTCTGTGAGCCTTTCTTCAGACCAGGGCTCTAGTTTCAGGAACCTCAAAAAGCATGAACTTTGTATAGCAGGCAGAGGAGGCACCTCAGGGGAGAGAGGCAGAAAGCCCTTCACTGGCCATGGGGGAGATGGTCATAAGCTCCTATGGGGTTCCCCAGTGACTCACCCAGACAGAGCTCCACTGGATTCCGAGGAGTGTTCTAAACCTTTGGCTACAGGCTCCTAGGGGCTGGTGCCAGGGCTACCAATGTGGGTCCCAGAGTTTCAGAACTCTGTGTGGTAAGGTCAGTTTGATCTCCACTCCGGAAGCCCTGTACACAGACCTATGCAGGTATAGGTGGACGGGGGTACATGCACACACACACACACACACACACACACACACACACACACATCAGTTCTACTGAGGCAGTGAGAACAAAAACAATCTGATCTGAAACTGACAGGTAGGAGCTGGCATCATTCAGAAAGGATGGCAAAGACAGCCCCACTGACAGCTCAGATGGTTTCTCTTTATGACTTCTTTAATACCTCACTGTTCCTGAAATGATAATTTTCCTGGTAGAGAAAATAAAGTAAAAAAGAAAGTAATTTTTCATTGTGGGCAAGATGCCATTTTGATCCTAGTCATTCTTTGGCTGGAGATGAGACAGTTGCTTTAAGTTGCAATTTTTCTCTTCTTTGTTCCCTATGAGAGAACACATTTCTACTAGAATTCCATAGCCCAGTGAAATATTTCCAAGGTAGTTTTATAATAGATATGGGGCAAATAGAAAGTTGGACCTTTCTATATAGCCATAGTTTTTTTAAAAAACATGAGCATGGTTAAATAAGTCAAAACTAAAATGTTGTGCCTCAGAGAGAAGTTAAGAAAAACTACCTCCACCTCATCCTCTTCAGATAGCCCCATTGATATAAAACTGCTAAACTCTATCCTCCATGCCTAATGCCTACAGGGAAAGTATATAAATTGCTAGGTTGGAAAAGAAAATCTAGGAATGACCCACAAAGTCACTGTGCTTAGAACTGAAATCTTCAGTCAAGAAAGACAAGATGTTTTTCCATGGGCCGGGGATTTAGCTCAGTGGTTCCAGCAACTGCCTCGCAAGCGCAAGGTCCCGAGTTCGATCCCTAATACCAAAAAAAAAAACAACACACAAGATGTTTTTCCATTCTATTTTCTCTAGTAATTTTTAAATATGTAGTTCCTATAATTTTATTTTAAATTAATGCAAATATCTATATAATACTTTAGATAATGCTTTGTAGTTTATACAATGCCTATATTGCCTCGTTTAATCTTTACAACAACTGTTTGAAAGATGAAAAAATGCAGGCTTGACGAGCTTCAGCTCCTCACCCAAGGCCACTAAGCTAAAGTGTCATAGATGGGATTTAAACCAGATTTCAAATTCTAAATCCAAAGTTCTTTCTGCTATGTATGCTTAGTACTCTTCAGGCTAGGTCATTTTCCTAAATATTTTAGTTTCAGATATTTTCTTGAGATCAGGGACCAATTACTGTTAAGATGAAAACATGCAATGGAAATCAGGGCCTACGTTCTTTCCCCAAGTTCTCATTAATTCACTTTCACACACATTTATTAAACTCGGTGATGATGACACAGAGGTTTGCTCTATTGGGAAAACCGGGGACTACAGCAGCTACATGCTTTGTAAACCACCTACTGGGCTTAGATTGAATACTATATACCTCGAGTTGTTGTGGAAAGTAAGAGATGTGATTCACATCAAGCACTGAGAACACTGATGAGACTTAGTAAGAACCAAATGAATTCTGGTTAATATTACTTGGAAGAACAGAGATTTGTGGTGATCATAACCACAACTATTTTTAATGCATAAATGACCCCACCACCTGTGGGAAGCTAGTAAGTGCCACGGAACAGGTATTACCCAGGTGTTGTCGCCTTCTACCTAGGCTGGTGGAAACCCAGGAGGAGGCTGTTTGAGAAGGTCTATGAGCAATGGATGATTTTAGAGGACAAAATGAGCAGAGATACTTGCTCATGCTTGTTTCCCCAAAAACGGCAACTAAAATAGTACTTCAGAGTTCCTGCAGAGGACACTAACCCTACTGGGCACAGTCTGACCTCCCCTTCAGTTCTTTGTTTGTTTTTCATTGTTGTTGTTGTTATTATTGAAATAGGGTCTCTCCGTGTAGTTCAGGCTGGCCTTGAACTCACTATGTAGCCCAAGCTGGTCTCAAACTCACAGTGATGCTCCTGCTTCAGCATTCCTAGTGCCGGAATTACAGGCGCAAGCTACCACGCTTGGCTTCCCCTTCAGTACTGACCTATTCTATGACTTACCTAAATCATATATCCCCTCAAGGATAATCTTCTCCTCCCCTTCTTTCTTTCAACCACTTCCACATTATTCTGCCTAATAATATTTTCATAAAGGATGATGAAGACACATACAATCATGTTGTAAAAACACAAAATGCCCTGTGACTTAATGATGACTAAACAAGAAATAAAAATCAATCCAACAAAGCAAAACTATCTTAATCTTTATGTGAACTAGCTTGTTCAGTGATTTCAGACACATTAATTTAATCATATGTCAGACCCTCGGGCTTGATACAGTATTACTGCTGTTTTATAGAGGAGTAAACTGTGACGTAGAAGCAATTTTCCTGATAGAAGCTCATGAGTCAGTGGTAGAGTTGGTGAGAGACCTCCAAGACCTGGCCTCTGCCTGGATTAGCAGCTCAAAGGTAGCTTCCACTCCCTTTAGACTGAGAGCTTCCTCTGCTGCACGTTATAGTGGCCCAGGGGCCTGTCCACTGGGGCTTAAGAATAAGCTACACAGAAAGCTCAGAACCACATGTTAACAGCTTGGACAGGTCCTCTAGCTTTGGTGGTAATGGTCATCCTTCAAAATACACCAAAGCAAATATATGTGCATATGTATGTTTATATGTATGCATAAAACTATACCTATATACACATTTATAACTTACACCTTAAATATATAAAGAATCCTTGAAATTCAGCAATAAGGAAACCACTGAATAGAAAATGGGATAAAGATTTGAACAGATACTTCTGAAAAGAAGAAATATACAAATGACCAAAAAAAACCACATAAAAAGATGTCCAAAATCTTTAATCATCAGAGAAATGCAAACTACAATCACAATAATGGCCATTTTCACATTCCTTATAATACCTGAAATTTTAAAAAGACTGACAATACAGATGGTCTCTGTAAGAGGAAAGAGAGAGAGAGAAAGTAAAGTATCACAAAATGCAACAATTCCATTCATAGGCATTTACCTAAGAGAAATGACATGTTATATTGGTCAGCTTTCACTAGAATGAAATACTCAAGACAATTAGCTCATAGAGAGAAAAGTGGGGGGATCTGTTTGTTTTTTGTAGTACTGGGGATGGAACCCAGGGCCCCATGCATGCTAAGCAAGCACTCTACCACTGAGCTACACCCACACCTAAGAGAAAAAGTTTATTTTGGCTTACCATTTCAGAGGTTCAAAGTCAGCAGCCTTATTTCTGTGGTTCCCTGAAGAGGATAACACTTTAAGGCAAGAATGCACTGAAAAACAAACTGCTCATCTCATGAGACAAGATGCAAAGCCAGACAGAAAGAGAGGTGAGACCAGGGTCCCACATTCCTTTAAGGACATACCAGCAAATGACCTAAGGACCTGCTATGAAGTCTCACCTCCTAAGTGTTCCACCACCTCTCATAGCATCATCCTGGAGATCACGCCTTAGTACAAGGACCTTGGGAAACATATCTTGAGACATGTATCCAAACCACAGCACTAGTACACAAATGTTCACAGCAGTTGTATACCATAGTAGGAAGCCTCTACCTCCCTAGAATCTGTCTTAATGGATTTTAATGATTCCCCACTGCTTAGAATTCAAATATTAGCGAAATAACCTTCTCTGGAGTATGGGCTGAACTTGGTGACCTACTTGCAAATGAAAATGACAAAAGTGATTAGCTGTAAGTCCCAAGATTAAGTTCCAAAATTCTAGGCTTTTCATATTGTTTGAGCGCTCTCTCTCTCTCTCTCTCTCTCTCTCTCTTTCTCTCCGTCTCTATCTCACTGGCTTTAAGGAAGCTAGTGGCTAAGCTGTGAGTGTCTCTATGGAAAGGCCCACATGACAAGAACTGAGTGATGCCTCTGGCCAACAGCCAGGAGGAAAATGGAAGCCTTCATTCCAGCAGACAGCAAGAAACCACATCTTACCAAATAATGGCAAGTGCAGGAATGAGCGGCCCAGCCCATGCTTTGCTCACAGCTCTGTAAGAAACCATGAAGCAGAAGCAGCCAGCTAAACTGCACCCAAGCTTCTGACACAACAAAAAGGTGAGATTATAAATATTTTTATTGTTTCAAATCACTAAGTTTTGTGATAATTTGGTATGAAGCCTATCTAATACATATTCACAGTGATCCCTGAAAACAGCAAGAGAATGCTACACATACTGTAGTATATTCATCCATTTGGTAGACTGCTACACAGCAATAAAAAGACAAATTTGTAATACAGCCAATAGTGTGGATCAATCTAAGACTGCTAGACAAATAAGAGAATGGCAGTCTGATTCCATTTATATGAGTCTAGAAAAGGGAAAACATATCTAAATTGACAAAAAACAGATTAATGGAGGTGGGAGCTGACCATAAAAGAGCAAAAAAATCTTCTATGGGTGACAAAAATGTTCTATGTCTTGAATGCACTGATACACAGGTACATATACCATACCTTTGTCATAACACACAGACCCATGCACTTAAGACAGGCATAATTGATCATGTGCAAGGTAGGCCTTAATAAAATTGATTTACAAAGTTAAAACACATAAATCCCAAGGCAAATACTAGGTATAAGTGTAGGACAGTAAATTTTAAAACACTGTAGGAAATGGACAGGTTCTGAGCAAAATATCGCTTGTAAATAACAGATATTGGCCCAAAAGAAATGAGAAACCAAAAGATATAGTGACCCTATTGTAGATTAAAAAGATAATTAAAGCACTAACAAAGGGCACTTAGAATTATTTAACTTCATGACCTTCAATTTCTTAACCTGTAAAATGGAAATAAAGTAACACACACAGTCTACTACATTCAGTAATAGTTTCCCTGATATCCAGGGGTTTTAAACCCTATTGATAGTTTTACTTCTCTATTCAGATCAACATAAAACTATTTAATTCAGTCAACAAACATTGAATTCCTCCTTTTCAGATTCTTTCCAAGGAGATTCCCTAACTTCTCAGGACACAAGTCTTTGATGGTTTTTTTTCCTGAATCTAATTATAGAGAAAAAAGAAATAACAACCAAAAGTAGGAAGCAGAAGGCTAAGTCGTTAGGAAAGATAAAAACCACAAAACTGCACAGGAAGGAGGGTAATATTCTAAGAAACTCTTAAGCATGTTAAATACATATCCCCTCTGACAGCACTAGGGAGATACATCCAATTCTGTACTGAAGGTTGCTGAGGTTTCAGAAGTCTAAGGCACTCTCCTGCACAGCTGACCTCTTAGCACCTCTAGTTACAGGGAAGATAGACCTGGAACGTCTTTCCACCCCACCAGGGGAAGACTGGACCCAGGGTGGAGACTGCCACCTGGGAGGTTTGGCAGTGGTGTTCAGGGAATGCAGCCTTTTGCCAGCTGGAGCTCTGAAAGAATGCGGCATGTCAGTTCTCTGCTGGCTTCCTCTCCTCGCATACCACACAACTGTGTCTCTTCATCTCCAAGATCTGGCAGTGCTCAAGGATTTCAGACAGCTTCCCGAGCCTCCCAAAGCTCTGACCTGGGTGATACAAAATGCCAGGAAGCATTTCTGTGAGTAGCAAGGAGGAGACAGTACCAGTCTCTTACTTCAGGAAACACAAGTGAATTCCAAGATAGCCATTATATCATAACCCCTCCCCACACTCACATAAAGGTAAGTAAACATTAGATTCAGGTCAGGCCAAGAGCCAAGTGCTGAGAATCTGCCACTGCATCACAGGAACTTCAGTAACTTCCATGGGAGACTTGGGTGGAATTTCTCCAGATGAGGAGCCACATTCTAGGTAAGGTTACTGGCACTGAAATCAAATAGAACCATTGACTCTTGACTGAGCTTTGCCATTCACTTTGTGGTCTGTTTTCTCATTTGTACAGTGGCACTGATGATATCACCTTTGTGTGGTTGAGAACAAAACAAGGGAGCATATGTCAAGTTGCACGGTACCGTCCCTGCCTTATAATAGCGCCTCAGTAAATATTCGTTTTCTTGTTTCCACTGTCATTTCACAAAGGCCTAAGTGGAATGTACAATACAACTTACTCCATTCCTTTCAGTTTTCCTCATTGCCTTTTACGTACAATCACAGTAAAATTTGGAGAAAGTGTGTGTTCTACCAAAAAGGAAAGTTTGAGCCAAATTCACCTTAGCAACAATCATTGGTGAAACATAAAAAAGTGCTCCTGTTAGGTTCTAGGAATTAAAGGTGATTCTTTGTTAATTACTGCCTAAATAACCCCCAAAATATAGTTCTTAAAACAACAGTGCATCATTGAGTCTCATGTTTCTGCAGGTCACTGGCTGGCTGGCTGGCTCTCCTGCAATGGGAATCAGCTGGCAGTTGAATCACCTGAAGGTTTACGTGGGCTGAACATCCAGGACTGCCCTTCACTCCCTTTTCCAGTGCATTAGTGCTGTTCTCCATGATATTTTTCTCTAGATACTAGATGCCTTTCATGGCTCCAAGAGAAACAAATCAGAAAATGTCAGTGATCCTAGATCTTAAGCCCAGAAATGGCCTAGAAGCTTTTCTGACATATTATCATTGCCAAAGCAACTACAGACCAGCCTGGATTCAAGGAAGAAGGAGGATGGAATTCATGTGCACATAGGAAGTAATTGGTGGTGGGCATCTTCTGAGTCTCTTGCCTTCCTTGCTTCTGGGTTTCTAAGTTCTCACCTCTGAAAATGTTATCTAATGAAGGTCCTCAGATCATAATGTCAGTCTGCAACCATACCACCCTGAACACACCAGATCTCATCAGCTCATAATGTTTTCCTTTTAGCTAAAATGGTTTCATCACCTTGGGACTCTTGACCTATAGATTTCACACTCAACATGAGCATGTCACTTTGCAACTCATTGCTCTGGCACCAGATTAAAACCAAGGCTTTTGGAGGAGGATATGGTGGTGCACACTTGTAATCCCAGGATTCTGGGAACCTAAGCCAGGAGAATCCTGAATTTGAGCCCAGCCTGGCCATCTCAGCAATTTAGCAAGATTCTGTCTCAAAATTAAAACTGGAAAAAAAAAAGTTTTGCTCCCATCTCCTGATGCTGCTTTATTTCCTTTTATGATTCCAATAATCATAACTTCTAATGAGTGGCACTTATTCAGGTCATTGTTCCAACCAAAACAACTCACATACTTTCATAGTTCCTTGTATTTCTTAAAAGCACTTACCTTAGTTTGTCCCTTTATATTAGTGAGATTATTGGGTTTCCTCATTAGATCCTAAACTCCATATAGACAGGTACCATTTATCCTCAACAGTATACTATGTAGGTCTAGTACATAAAGCTCAGTATATTCTTTAAATGAATTGATTGTTCCTTCTCTCCATTTAATGCCAAAGAAAGGTCAACTCCATCAGAATAGAAAAAAATTTTAAATTTTATTTTCACAAACATGTTTGATTTTTAAGTGTCAAACTTTAACAATATTCATATTCAGTTGAAGAAAAGTGAAAGTATTTGTTTTGGGGATTCAAGAGATACAAAATAAGTAGTTCTGTTTAAGAATCTCCTTCATAGAGCAGATATGACCTCAGGCAACCTAGGCTCTACTGGAGAATAGTTCTAGCTTTCAACTCCCACTCACCATTCCAGACCCCTTGCCAGGTTCTGGCATCTCAAATTCCTTTACACTTGCCTCATACCTGGTTTCCCATTCCCTCAGATGGCTGCTGCTGATGGCTTAAAATCTCCCTGGACTCCCTGCTCCCCTTCAATTACTCCTTTCAAAGATGTCCTGCTTCACCTCCATGTCCACACATAACTCTGGAATCCTCTACTACTTTCCAGCACTATGTTTCCCATCATATTCAGACACAGCCTTATTTAGCTTTTTCCTCAAACTGAAAAAACAAATAAGCAACTAGGCTCAAAGAATGTTTTTATTCACACTTTTCATTATAGAAAACTTTAAAGATCAAGAAAATACTGTAATGAACTTTGATATACACATCATCCAGCTTCAGTTGTCATCAGTTCATGACCAGCCCTGTTTCACCCACACCCTCGTTTCACCCACACCCTCACTCACCTTCTCTCCTGGATGATTTTGAAGCCAGTTCTAGACATCATATTATTTTATCCACATGTACTTCAGGACCTATCTCCAAAAGATAAGTGTAGCTGACCCTCCATATCCATGTTCTTCATCCATGGATTCAACCAACTGCAGATTGAGAAAACTTTGAAAAAATATGTGTCTACCCTGAACATGTACATACTTTTTTCCCTTTTCATTATTTCTTAAATAATGAAGCACAATAGTTTACAAAGAATTTACATTATATTAGATATTATAAGTAATCTAGAGATGAGTTAAACTATATAGTTCATTGGTTATATGGAAATATTGTACCCTTTTGTACAAAAGGCTTGAACATTTGCAGATGTTTATGCTCTCAGTTGGGTCCCAGAACTAATTCCTCTGTAGATAATGAAGAAGACTTTAAAAACTTAAAAAACACAACTACCAGCACTCTGGCAGGCTGAGGCAGAATTCTAAGTTTGAACCTACCCTGATCAACTTAGTAACTTTGCAAGACCCTGTTTCAAAATTTAAAAATAAAAAGGGTTGGGGATTAATTCAGGCTCACACATTAACAAAACCCTCCAGGCACTCTTAGTTGTTTGTAAGTACTCAGTCTAAAAGACACTGAAGCAGTAAAGCTAGCTCTTCTTTATTACTATCCTTCCCTATGTACTCCACGAATGAACACCCACATGCACTCTCTAAGAAACAGAAAGATATATATTTCTGATGACATCTTTTATTGTCCTGTGCAAAACTTGGCACCAACAGACAGCTGGCTTTGCTGTTATGAATGTATTCCAGCAAAGAGTTCCAAAAACTCCTGTAGTTGAAACAAGTTGGTTTTTCTTATAGACTGCAGTGAGGAAGAAGACATATCATAGGAATCTTAGTAAGAGCAACTTAGTAAGATGTTGTTAAAAAGAATCTGGTATAGGACTTGGGCTTTGGCTGAATAACTGGGGAGAACCTAAGAAGGCAGCATTCACTCTACACTAAATGTCATCAGAAACGGGAGGCAATTCTATGATTGTCTAATCTATGAAGAAGACAGATTAAAGAAACTAAAGCTGTCCTTGTTATAAAAAAAGAATAATTGGGGCCAGGGATTTAGCTCAGTGGTTCTGTCTCCTGCCTTGAAAGCACAAGGTGCTGACTTTGATCCCTGGTACCAAAAAAAAAAAAAAAAAAATGAACAATCAGAGTCACTCATTCAGCAAGAGAGGAGAATGTTTGTTAATTTGTGATTTTGTTTCATCTCATCTTGTCATGATTTGACTATAACATTGTTTGACAAAGACAACTTTGTGAGACTGTTTCTGCCCCCCCCCCAAAAGGACTAAAATGGCCTGGCCATGAGTGTCAGACCACCTTGTAATGATATTGAGGTCTAGTTGTGACTGCCATTCCATGTGTCAAGGACTATTTTTTTCTTTCTCTTTGTCCTCCCACTTCCTGGAGTATAGGAATTCACTGAAGAATATCACTTTGGGTACAGGTTTATTTGACTTTCTGAACCCACCTTTTCTTTTAGGTTATTTTTAACAACTCATTATTTCTCTGTGTGGATGTTCGCGCGTGCGCGCATTTGTGTGTGTGTGTGTGTGTGTGTGTGAGCGCTGTGGTGTGTACATTCCATTACATTACATTCAAGTGTTCATAAGCTTCTTTACTATCTTAGTCACTCTACTCAACACTGAGACACAATACCCAACCCACAACACTTAAAGGAGAGATTTATTTTGGCTTATAGTTTTAGAAATTTCAGTCCATGTTCACCAGGCTCCAAGGCAGAGATGGAAGGGTCTGAAGGAGCAAAGCTGCTCACATCATGGCAGCTAGGAAGCAGAGAGAGAAAGGAGACTGAAGGAGGGAAATATGCCCTTCTGGGTCACACCTGCAGTGACCCATCTCTTCCAACCAGACCCCAACTCTGAACAGCACATTTAGCTATAGCACCCTCATGATCCAATCACCTGCAGAAAACCCTTTTGAGAGCATGAGTTTTGGGAGTCATTTTTTTAACTAAATCATAACATTCTGCCCCTGGTCCCCAAAAGACTCATGTACATCTCTTTTTGCAAAGCACATTTAGTCCATACCTGAGTCATCAAAGTCTTAACAGTTTCAGCATTGCTGAAAAGTCCAAGTCCAAAGTCTTCTTTGAGATGCAAGGCAACCCCTTAGCTGTGAACCCCTGTAAAAATCAAAAAGAAAGTTAAATGCTGCTTAGATAAATGGCGCAAGGTACATATTTACATTCCAAAAGGGAGAAGTAGAAGGATAGAAAGCAATGGGACCTTGCAAGCACAAGGTCCTGAGTTCAATCCCCGGTACCAAAAAAAAGAAAAGAAAGGAAAGATAGGATCAAAGCAAGACTGAAACTCTCAGCAGGGCAAATGTTAAATCTTGTAGTTCCATGTTCAGCAACCAAGGCCAGTAATGGAGAGATATGAACTCCAAGGGCCTTGGGCAGCCCTCCTATGGCATTGTATGTTGCACTCCTCATGGTCTCTCTCTTAGGGTGACTTCTTTCACTGCCTGCAGCTTTCCTCAGCAGATATTCCATGTTTCTGGCATCTCCAACTTCCTGGGGTCTTCATTGCACTTTCAGCTTCACTGTCCCAACTTCATGCACTGCTTTCTCAGGGCCACATTGCCTGGCTTCCCAGGCCTTGTTTGGAACTCTTGCATTCTTCATTCCCATAAAACCAGCACCATGTGAATAATTTCAAGGTCTGCAACCAGCTTAAGCAGTTCCCTGTCTCCCTTCTATCATGGATTCAGAGACCTTCAAGTGCCAAGATGCCTAAAGCACTGTGAAATGAATCCCAGAGAACAGATTCTTAGGCATCCTTTCTCCAGCAGGAAGCCTAGGGTTCTCTTCTCAAAGCAAAGTCTTGTTTTTGCACTCTTGAGACCAGGGTCTTGCTGATTCCTGAGGTGCCCTTAAGCCATCTTTCTTATTGTTCTGATGCAAATTACTTGGTTTCTTTTTAATACCAATCCTTTTAGCAATCAAGCTGTTCTCTGCTCCAACTTTTCAGGTGCTTTCTTTCTGGGGAAACAGAAAACTATTCAAATGGGCTTTGAGCTCCTGGTTTTCAGTAAAATACTGGCAAAAAGCTGCCAACATTACCCATGCCAAAGCCTGAACTTTGACCTGTGTTGACATTTCTCCACCAGATTAATAAGTCTGCTAACTTTAATCTCAGTCTCCCACAAAGACTCAGGACATAAGTAAAATGTAGACAAGTTTCCTGCCAGAAAATAACACACATGATCTCAAGTCCAACTACCAACGGAGTCCCTATTCCCAAATGAAACATTATGAGCTTTACCTTTACCATCTGCATTTCTATCTGGTCTTAAAAACTCCAACCAGAATCTCCCATCAAACTTGGCTTACAGCATTCTAGGGCTTCTCTAGCTGGCATCTCTAAAACTTTCCAAACTCCTCTTACAAGCCAGTTCCAAAGGCTTCTAAATCATGTGATTAGTTAAGTCATAGCAAAAAGCCCACCTTTGGTAACAAAATCTGTCTTAGTAACTTTTCTCATCACTGAGATACAATACTTGACACCCACAACTCTTAAAGGAGGAGAGTTTTATTTTGGCTCATAGTTTAAAAGTTTAGGTCCATGTTTGGAAGATTCCAAGGTAGAAACAGCATGGTAGAAGAGTCTGACTGAGGACAGCTGCTTACATCACAGCCACCAGGAAGTACAGAGAAAAGGTAGGATCCAGGAGGGAAATATATCCTTCCAGGTCATTCCCCCAGTGACCCACCTCTTCCAATCATACCCCACTTTCTAAAACCAGATTCTGCTATTATGCCCTCTTGATCTAAACACCTTGAAAAATTCCCACCTCTGAGAGCATGAGACATTTGGGGGTCATTCTTGATTTAAACCATTAACACATATATTCTTGAGAAGAAAAATGAATTCATGTTTGAATGAATGAATACAATGTATGAAGCCAGTGAACCAGTCCAAAACCAAGCTCATTTGGGGTAGACATCCAACATTTTGTTTCAAGGGCAGTAACCAGGCCTCACTTCAATCAATTCATTCAGCTAACTTGAGTGGTTTTCTCAACTCCCCTCCACCTCCTACTCTTGTACTCAGTGGAAAATACACCACAAAATACATATCACACACATACCTTAATAATCTCAAAATTCTACCAGATAACATTTATCATTACTCATTGTGATATACCCAATGTTTTCTATTTTATTTTATTTCAGTTAAAAAGTTAAGTACTGAATATAGTTTATTTTATTGCTTCCTAATAAATCTTGACTTGTAGTCCAAAAAATTGAATTGGCACCATGAAGTTACTTTGTACAAAACAAAACATTTCTGGATAACTCATTGAATCAACAGTGATGCTATAGCTACTTTTAAAAACTGTGGTGGGTATTTTATAACAGTCATTAAAAAATCTTTGGCTAAAATGACAGCAATCTTATTGAATGGCATCTAAGACACAAATTAAGGGTGGAAGCCAGTGTATGCCTAGCCTCTTAATATTCCTTGGGCTTTCCTCACACAGGGAAGACCTTTGTTGGCATATGTCACCATTACACTCCAGGATCCTCATAACTGGGTTTTTGGGGGGGTTTTTGGTACCAGGGATCGAACTTGGGACCTTGCGCTTCCTTGGGACCTGGCCCTGCTCATAACTGGCTTTAAACCAAACCAAGACCATAGTTAACACAGGAAAAATTAGTTCTAATATTTTTCAAGAAGAATTCCTCTCTTCTAAATTATCAAGGCCTTACATTTAAGAAACAACCATGGAAAGATGAGTTTAGAAGATGCCCATTCAACCTAATTCTTCCCTTTCTGACTCCCCATTCCACCCTCACCACCTTGATATCACTCTTTCAATTTGTCATAAAGAGGGAAGGACTCAAAGTGGCCTGGAGAGAGTTAAACAAGATTCTATCTGGAGCTTTTAAATTCATCAGCAAAAGAAGTCTTAAACTCAGGCATGGTGGCACATGCCTGTAGTCATAGCACTCAGGAGGCTGAGGCAGTAGGATTATCACAAGTTTTAGGCCAGCCTGTACTACACAGTGAGTTCAAGGGTAACCTGAACTACACAGGGAGTCCCTGTCTCAACTCCCCCCACACACACACCAAAAAAAAAAAAAAAGAACTTCACTTTGAATATCAAAAGCCAAAGAGATCAAGAAGCTCATTAGAGCAAAGGAGGAATAGAGTCATAGGACCAGGCTGAATACTTCAAGATGGTGGAGGGTGATGGAGATGGACAAAGGAGGGTATGTTACTAGATGGGAGGCTATGTGGTCATGCCAGAGAGATGTGACCAGAGAGCGCTCTTGACAAGGGCGGAGGAGCATCAGGGAATTTCCCAGCCCTGCCCAACCAGGAGAGTATAGCCCTCCCCAGAAGGAGACTGCTGAGTCTGGGCCCTTTACTGCACACTGCCATTCAACAGAGGTGAGCACTTCTATTTTAATTAAGCATCATGCTGACCTTAGTTGTTTTAGCTGCTGTGAAAGAGTGTGGTCCCCTTAGAAAGGAAGGAATTCTGACCCTTATGCAATATGGAGAAACTTTGAAACATACTAATTGAGAAAAACTGATACAAAAACAAATATTATATGTTACTTACATGAAGTAACTGGAGTAGTAAAATATATAGAGACTATCAGGGACTAGGGAGGAAGGAAGGACCAGGAAGTTAGTGGTGAAGGGGTACAGAACTTCAATTTGAGAAGAAGAAAAATTGAGGAGATGCATAGTTGGGATGGTTGCAGAATGTGGAATGTACTCAATGCCACTGAATTCTACATTTATGTTAAGATGGCTTGAAATGGTAAATTTTGTTATGTATACTTTACTACATCTTTGAAAGGCTATGCATCACTGTACAAATATAATGTAAATTAAAATGATCAATAATTATTTTAAATGTTTTGTCCTTTTAAAATACTCTGTCCTAGTTAAAAAAAATACAGGAGCTGAGGAACATGATGGAATCCCAACATAAGAAACAAATGGAACCCATAAGGCAGATGCAAACAGATTTCCAGGAGATTAAAAACTTCATTGAAAGTCTGCGCAACAGAATGAACCAATATGAGGCCAGAATTTCAGATATAGAAGATAAGATTGCAATTAGTGGCCAGCAAAATAAAAATTTCTTTAAAATTGTAAGGGACAGTAACAACATTGTGAGTCATGCCGAACACGCTGAATCAGCCCACTGCAGACAGGCAGGTCTGCAGACAACATAGCAACGTCATGAGTCAAGCCAAATCAGCCCACACCCCGGCAGCAATCCACTGGACAGCCCTCCCCCCCCAACCCACTCCTCTGTACAGCCACCTGGTTCCACACTACAAAGACACAGAGGACACCAGACCACCAAACCACTGTACTGGGTAAGTTGGAGTCATCGTCACCTCCCATCAGGACCGGGTCTATCTTCACGGGAAGGGTAGCTGGAATCTGCAATACAACTCTGCAGAGTTCAACCCTACAGAAGGACAGGGAGCTCAACTTGGGACTTGCAGCCAGAAATCTGCCTGAATCTCATGGGTCTGCAACTAGCTTGCTGAGACTCATTGACTTATATCTGCACACTGCAACCCACATTTTCTATTGTGACAGCAGAGACATACCCTGAAAGAGGCCCTTCATCTTCATGGTTATTTTTTATTCCCAAAATTAGTTTTATTATTTTGTTTTTTTCTCTTTTCTTTTCTTTTGCTCCTCTTATCTTTAATTTTTTCCCTACTCTTTGCAAATATTTGTTTTTCTCTTTTTTTTCTTTTCTTTTCTTCTTTCTTTTCT